TGTATGTATGTATGTATGTATGTATGTATATATATATATATATATATTGTATACATATATATACATATATATTTATATACATATATATATATATATATTTATATATATACATATATATCTATATATATATATATAGACAATGTATACATGATTGACATTCTAGATAGAATTTTTCAGTATAGGATGATTCAGTGCTGCCTGTATAACTTGAAACAGTACATCACATCATTGATGTAAGGGATGAGAAAGTGGTATCTTTCCACTTGTGTGCACACATATTTCGCGTACATATTGAACGCACAGATTTGGATGCGACTACACATCTATATATAAAATATATAATATTATGCGAAGTAACATGAGTTTCATTGTTATACCAATATAGACTGGTCACTGAACAAAGTTTAAAGTATTGAAATACATCCCGCAGGAAATGTACTGAAGTGATTACTTTGAACACCTAAGTTACCACCCATATCAGAATACCATATTTGGCAGAATACCATATGTACTTCCTACACAATGTATTTCGTTTAAAAAAAAACGAGAGATAAAATATATATATAAAATACTAAAAAGGAGCTCTAGTAGCAGAGGGCTTTGTGTTTGAGGGCTGAGCGCCCCTCTCTCTCTTCTCTCAGTTGTGTGTGCGTCTGTGTGTGCGAAGTTGTAGAGAGACCCTCTGGAGAGTGAAGACGTGAGACTGTTGAGAGTAGTAAGAAGAATGTGAATGAATTCTGTATATATATTCTGCTGATAATTTACTGTTGTATCTATGTATGATAAATATACACTGCGAGTCTGTGAACAAAGGCCGCGAGAGAGAGGGTTCCTATTTGCTGCTGGCTAATAATTATATTTGTCTACATACCTCTCAAGAGTATCAGGCCTTCAGTGACTCCAGCTAGTCCCGAATGGCCGAGTCCCGACTCCCGACTCCCGAGTTCCCAACTCCAGCAGAATCTACTTTTCAGCTTCACAAAAAGAGTCTGAGAGACTCTTGTCTCAAATTCAACTTCTATACGCCCACCAGTCCTCACTCCCCACTCCCCAGTCCCCACTCTCCACTCTCCAGTTCTGTGTTCTCCCTCCTCTCTCCTGTGTATGCAGAGAAAAAAATAAACAAACGTATTATATAAAAATAAGCTGAAATTCAAAGCCGGCTTTCTACCACTACTAGAGAGAGTAGAGACTCGCTATTTACTTATAGCCTTCAAAATTATGCACACTATAATCTTTAATTTTTTTTAAAGAGAACACTGTATTTAAAAAACAGTCTAACTGGAAAAAGGATACGTACCCTTCTGAATGTTTTTTAAAAAAACAGAACAAAAATACGGCTTTGCAGACTTGCAGAGCTGCTGGGTTTGTCATCCAATCATTATATGATTTTTAAAATTTATATCACAGCCATTGGCCTATTTTTACGTATTTTTAGTACCGGTCGATTGTTTTAAAAGATTCACACGTGGAATGGGCCCGTGGCGTATACATATTTACAATTGTCGCTTTGTGAAGTATTCTCGATGTTGTTATTAAATGTACATACACATTACTTTTGTTGTTTTTTTACCAAAAATAACAACCATAACCAAACAAACAAACCAAATCTTTTTTTTAAACAAAAAAAAGGAGGCTATGATATATATACAATTGTTTTGGTTTTTTAGAAACAAAAACATAAAGAAGGGCGCCAACTGTTTCCCGCCATTCTTCAAGAGCCTACTCTTTTTTTAAGAGTACAGTTTTTATAAAAAAATCTTCAAGGTTGAATATCGTACTGAACAGAATCTATTTACGTAAAAAATTGATCGATTTTATGCATAATTTCTGTCGAGGACATAGAAGTTAGAACCAATTATGCTCAATGCTTGTATCTTAATTCTGCTGCTGATGCAGTTTTGATTGGACCTATCTTCGAGTTTCAAAGAATGTATTTTTGATCACTTACTATCAGATTACCAAAACCCACTAATCATTTCAAGACGAGAAAACAAACAGAAAATATGTTTTGCGATATTTCAAACGAGAGAGATTGTCGATTTGTAGGTATTCGCAACTCTTTGAACTCTAAGTCGCTGTCGCAAACTCTCGAATCTTAAAACTATAAATATATTTACTGCTTACGGGCTACGGCCGCCCTTCATACGGCCTACGGCCTACGGCCCTACGACACATCAGTATCAATGAATAAGCGACGTTCAAATTCACATAGTAGATTGCAGAGGCACATGTGTTTATTTTTATTTTTTGCGGCTGCCCCACAACGAATCAGAATTCTTCAATAATTTTGCACTCCACTGGCAGGCGTCAGCCCACAATCCACCTTGTTCAGCTGTCCGGCGTCCGCCCTATATTTGTTTGCACATAGATATTTATAGTGATTTTGTAATTTCTTAATAAAAACAAACCAATAATGAAAATGAAAATGACCCTTGTTCTGGTAGTAATTTGTTTTAAAAGAAATGAAAATATTGTGGTATCGAAAACCCTTAATTTTTATATCGAACACCAATCGGAAAAGCCTTCCGTTCAGACAAAACCCATTTTAGGTCTAATTGAATAAAGAATTTTGAATAGAATTGCATAATTTTACCTACTTCTGTATGTAACACCTCAAAACAATCGAACGATTTTTCTTTTTCTTTAATCAGTTTTGAATAAAACATTTCGTAGACTTATGCACATTTCCAGTTTTTCTTTCGGCCCCCGAGTATAAAACACAGAAATTCTCTGTCAAAGCTGTTAGTTTAAAAAAAAATTGTTGCAGAAAGTCTAGGTGCTTTTGCAACTCTAACTATCTTACCTTTACGGCATTTGAACGATCAAATTGCCACCTCATATTACTCGCTTCTGTTCAGATAGTCAGTGATTGCTTCTCTAGCTTCTTTCAATTCTCTTACTGCAGCCGATCTTGTATCTGATGTCCATGACATCCATGCTTGAACATTTGACCGACATCATGAAGCCAAAGGTATATGATGAGAAAAGGCTTCTACACGGGTCTGCTTGTACAGAAATATCAGCTAATTGATTTTGCTAGCATGCTTCTATTGTTTATACTGATGTACATTATTTTACTGCCCATTGGTAAGGTAGCGTGGGTAATAAAGTTGAGAATTGTACTATTCTTTCAATTCTTTTGTACGCTTCGAGGGCCTTGACATCCGTGTTGCATAAGCATTAATCCACTTGTGTTGCGTTTTTTTGCATATAGCTTTCGGATTGATTCTAAGTCTAGTTTTGTATAGAAAGATAACTAAGTTTCATTCGACTGGAATATACCAAAATCAACTTTGATTTGTGTTTTAATATGAAGACCGAGGCATGGTTCTAAGGGAAGGAAAGTTGTCATTGTTTTTGAACAATCAATTAAACAAAGAAATGGACCTATTTTTAACCCTCAGCCCGAGATGGTAGACTTGTGGTCCAATTCGGATATCTCCTTGAAACGTCATGGAGATGATCAGGAACCAGGTTTGCCGCTCAAAAAAGTGAGAACTGAGTGTCGTCAGAGACGCAAGTCTGTGCATTTTGTAGACGCTGCACTTGAGGAGGTTTTTATCATCCCTGCCAAAGAAGAAACATGGCCGTATGGTTCATTGTACGGAGAATCTCTCCCAAGATGCTTCGAAGAGTTCAATCATCTTTACAACCCAAAAGAGAAATGTAGTGATAAGTTGTCCGTATCTTCAATCAACGCAACAGAACATTGTGCACCAGCTAAGTCTCGTTTCAACATAACAGTCGGACATTCTTATCTTATGTATGATGGTAGTATTCTTAAGGCCGTTTGTGCGACTTCGTCTGGCTTTATTGGGAAGAAGTTCATGAAAGTTGAACATATCGAGGAACAACTCAAATCCGGAAAGGTCGATATTCGTCTTCGTCCCGCAGATTATGTGGAGACGGATGAATATGTCGCTATCAGCCAATCGGAGGTGGCTGTACAGTGTGTTGTATCGTGTGTCGGAGATGGGGATCAGGATATGGATGGCCTGAAGAAGTTCTTTTTTGGTTGGTTTTACTCGATGAAGAGCAGCAGTTTGTTACCGTACGCTGTAGGCTCGAAAGTGGAAGTATACTGGCCGTCCGATCAAACATGGTACGAAGGGGTCTTGGAGGATGCCAAAGACGGGCTTCACCGAGTAGTATACTCTGAGGATGACTCTGAGGAGTATCTCAATCTTGCTCAATTTCAAGAGAACGGTCACATCAAATGGCCTTGAGTTGCAGCAGTGTCATTGATGTCCTGATTTAAGGCTGGCTACCCGAAGATCCTAATAATGCCAGTGGATATGTTATATTCTTTATTTTACAATTGTTGATTCTGAGGCAATTCGCCTTCCGGTGACCGCCTAAGGAGTAGTGTAGAGTGATGGCGCATTCTGTTCGATTTTGATGGCCATTTTAACACATATTTTGTATGCCGCCGATTTAAGTCCGACTATTCTTGACCTGCGGCTGCCATGCCATGAGATTTTACAGCATGAACACCCATATGAGCGCACTTCCGGAGTGTGTACAACATAACCGGGCAACAACTTCACTTATCAGAGTTGCCTGCCCCGCATATAGACCCTTCACCTATCAGGTGCGAGGATTAGTATTAGTAGCCTGGCGTATGACTCACATTCGTCGCTTTAATTTAATTATAATTTAGTGGGATAGTCTGGAACTGTCCCCGCAATAAACGCTATTTAGGTTGGAGCATTCAAGCTCCAGTCCTTGAAAGACTAGAATTTGTGTTCAAATTTACATTTGTTGAAACAATATTGTCTATATATTCTAGCGAATTTCAAAAGTATCACATGAGTGTCTTGATCTGAAGCCTGAAGGTTTATCTTCTTTCTCTTGGGTTGGAACGCTACTATTCATGAGGATCTACAGTCTATATAGTGGTGTTGAAACCCATGTCTGCCTTGTGATAACACTATGTGATGCTGTTGCAGTGCAACAGCATCACATAGTGTCGAATGTCGCAATTCTTTCGAGAAGCAACAATTTATACTCATATTAGCAAGAATGAGCTCTGGTATTTTGTGCGAGATACCCAAACCAAGTAAACTGTAGAGCAAAAATAGCTTCGTGGCGGTATTCCACATTCAACCCTGCCTTAGAGGTTCTCTTCCGGGATCCCTTTCAACCCGCCAAGCTGAAGTCGTTATTAGAGCTTGTGTTTTTAAAATATAAGAAGGAACGGGCTTGGGGTGAGTGTTCGCCTTTGCTGGCTTGTGCCTCAACGATAAAACAAAGACGAACATAATATGAATTTCCCAAAACAGTAGCATACACTTCTTACGCTGTCGTCACGGTGTTTCCTTGCGCAACACGTATATTTGTATGTACCTACATATGTATATATGTATGCATGCATGTAAGTATGCATGCAGTAATGCTTGCTTGCTTGAAGTATGTATACATGTGGCATGTATCTATGTCTATACGTATGTATGTATGTTATGTATATGTTATGTATGTATGTATGTATATACGTATGTATGTATGTTACGTATGTATGTGAGTAAGTATGTATGTATGTATGTATGTGAATATGTATGTATCTATGAATCTATGTATCTATATATATATATATATATATATATATATATATATATCTATATCTATATCTATATATGTATATATATATATATATATATATATATATATATATATATATATACATACTATCATACATACATACATACATACAAATATATATATATATATATATATATATATGTATATATATATATGTATGTATGTATGTGTGTGTGTGTGTGTGTGTGTGTGTGATTGCTGTGTGTGTGTGTGTGTGAGTGATTGCCACAGTATGCTTATTGGCCCCGATTTCGCTCTATATTTCACTGAGAATCATATATCATCATTTATACAGCATATAAACTTCAACTGCTTGTATCACCAACTATTCAGCTTATAACATCAACTGGTACTATCACCATTTATACAGCATGTAACCTCAACTCAAGCACAACAAAGAAATACATGTAAACACTGTAGCCAACGATTTATCTTTTAAAAGCCACTAAATTTTTGTTTGTTTTTTAATGCGCCGGAACAGCTTTTTGGCGGGCTCCTTCACATCATGTGTTCTGAAGTTTTAAGTATTCACATACTTAATAATGACCTCGATGAGGCTCGATAGGTATCTCTTTTCTAAATACTATTCTTTTTTAAATGGGATTTATTGTTTACAGTTTGACATCTCTGTACAGTGTTCAGTATCGATCTACGTGAATACACTATCAGCTTGTGCACGGTGATCTATACATCTATCTCAGCAATATTTTGAGATCCCAGTACAGTGCCGGAGTATCGTTCCATGTGAACACAATCTCAGTCTTATTTGGTCGATGATGCTGGCAAATTTGTATTCGCGCTTGCGTGCGAAGTCAATACACCACCGGTTGGCGTGTACCACAACGCGGAAGCATAACCACATTCAAGTCACAAATGAGCGTTATGTTAAGAGAAGCCTGCACAATGAAGTTGACACCCCCAATTACACACGCATTCGGCAATACACGAGTACAAATGTTGCTGAAATGGGTTCAAACGACGTAAATTTAAAAACCAAAGTAAATTCGAAGATCAAGGTTGTGGTGGGCATGTCCGGAGGCGTTGATTCAAGTGTTGTTGCACTACTTCTCAAACAACAAGGGGTATGTCACAGTTTTGTCCATGTTCATTGTGGCTGTAACATATCATAGAATATATACCAAACTAACGACACTATCACTCAATTTGGACGTTATTCTGCTCATCCGGGATCTTAATTGCATTGCTCCATAGCCACCTTTATTACAACCTATTTTGAATATAGAATCGGATTTTAATACTTGTTGTTTACATTTGGCTAACAAATAAGTGTGTACTTGTATGTACTTCCGTGTGCCGCCTGAGGGCCTCCATCGTGTGCACGAGGTAGCTTTAATACATCCAAATAAAAACTAGTTCACATGAATTATATGTGATGCCACACAAACAATTTTTCATACATACCGTTCCCTTGTATGACATATAGGTGGTGTTCAGTTTCCTATTACTCGTTTGTATGCCGTCAAGGAGGAGAACGTATGCAATTGATTCACGGCACCGTATGACCATTAACATAATTCTGTTTTTTTCGTCTTTAGCTAGTATTAATAACAACCAGATAACCTAGATAATAAACTTCACTGGAGCCACCTTATCTGATCCCGTGCATATTAATCACGTGCGCGAATCTATACATGACCACAATATCACAAAGCGGTGTCCGTTGCACAAAGGCATATTCTCAGCAGTGCTCCATTCTGTATTTTGTTCTGTATTTTTCAGTATGATGTGGAGGGCTTGTTTATGCAAAATTGGGATACCCGGGATGAGCAAGGACATTGTTCAGCTGACGAAGACTATAAGGACATGCTAGACGTATGCCAAAAACTGGGTATAAAGGGTATGCACACATGGATTCTAATAAAAGTTATGTTTCTCTCATACAGCAAAGCCAGTGCCGTTACGAAGTTTGGCCTCGATTATTTTTTTATGCTCTGACATAGCAATTGATTTGTGTGCCATATGTGCTGTACTGCCCGATGGTTGAATGCGGCTTATCAGTTGCAGAGTGAGTGGACGGGAGCATACGAATACATCTTTTCATGGCAAGTCCTTATATTCACTAAATATTTTGGGAGGAAGTGCTTCAAACTATCCCGAAAAATGAGTTATATCTAACCTAGCCAATTTAATGGTATATTCCTCCGACTATTAGGGCATCGGGTCTCGTTTGTTAAGGAATATTGGAATGATGTCTTCGAAGGGTTTCTGCAATCGTACGAGAAGGGCCATACACCAAACCCTGACATATTCTGCAACAAGGAAATCAAATTCAAAGCCTTCTTGAAACATGCGACGGTGTGTGTTTGATCATTGTTGACGGTGTGTGCTTGATAATTGTTGACGGTCCGTGCTTCATGATTGTTGACGGTGTGTGCTTGATAGTTGTTGACGGTGTGTGCTTCATAATTGTTGACGGTGTGTGCTTGATAGTTGTTGACGGTGTGTGCTTGATAATTGTTGACGGTATTGCTTTATAATTGTTGACGGTGTGTGCTTGATAGTTTTTGAGGGTGTGTGCTTGATACTTGTTGACGGTGTGTGCTTGATAATTGTTGACGGTGTGTGTTACCTCTTGTAGTCATGGTTGCCTGTCATTGTAACGTGCTTTTCTTTCGGTTGTTCGTGCTAAGGCCTGGGTGTCACGACCGCTGGCAGTTGGTGTAGTCTTAGGTGCTATTTGGGACATCCGCCATTTCAATTGATCAAATGGTGGACCAAGGCTTTGATCGTAAAGTATTGTTTGTCTACTGCAAGGTTTTCACGATTGACAGTCTATACTGTTTGATTGTATTGCTATCATCACGTGCGTAGGACAATTTGGGGGCGGACATGATAGCAACGGGCCACTACGCTCAACGGGTACCCACTCCAGGTGGTGATGGATGGCAATTGGCAATGGGCTTGGACCAGGGCAAGGTACTGCCAACACTACACGCGAGTAATTGAATGATTCGGTCGAGAATCGCGCTTGACTATGTACCCGAGCACTTGACTAGTTTAGTCCAGGTGTTACAGAGATTTCTATTCTGAATTGTAGGGCTACTTGCCCACGATTGGGAAGAACATTTTGATCCTGTTTGTATCGGGACTTAACTTTGAATGCCCACGATTGGGAAGTATATATTGATCCTGTTTATAACGTGACTTATAACGTGACTTAACTCTGAATGCCTACTCTGCACAACTGCAGGACCAATCATACTTTCTGTCAGCCATCAATCGCGCTTGCCTTGACAAAGTATTGTTTCCAGTTGGCCACATTTTGAAACCAAAGGTCAGAGAGCTTGCGGCGGCAGCCGGGCTGAGTGTGGCGACCAAAAGGGACAGCACAGGCATCTGTTTTGTGGGCAAACGACATTTTCCGGAATTCATCAGCAATTGTGAGTTACAGTTTACTGATATGAGCCACATTACAATCTGTCGAATTGAGATTTCCGCTGTTCCAAAACCTGAGTGCGTGCATATTCTGAGCAATGTCTTTGAGTTATTGGGATTCTACTATGTGAAAGTGATAGCAAATATGGATGCGTTTTGTGTGTGCGTGTGCATCGGGACTGAGCCGTTCCTTAGATGACGGCCTCATTTTAAATAGTTATTCATTTCGGAGTTGCTTTGTCCTTGTTTTACCGAACTCTTTGTTCAATTGCGCCAACCTTGCAGATATTGCGCCAACTCCAGGTCCTATTACAGAATTGGAGTCAGGACGCGAAATAGGAAAACATACCGGAATACACACCAGAACACTTGGAGAACGATCTCGGTATGCCAATGCACACATTTGTCGCTGCGGGTCGTCGCTTGTACATTTCGAAGCCATGCTGTACGGAGTGTATCGTATTCACTTTTACGCTCTTATTTGGATGTTTGCGAGTTTATTTTCACCTTTTACATGTATGTTTATGTTCCAGTGGCAACTAGCTGTCTCTTGAATGTGTTCATGCGACCGTTCAACTTACATGTGTGGCTGATTACTCATCCTGCAGTTTTCTGTTCCGATCTATGCTTAGCATCTCTTATATCTGATCGTTTCCCGTAGGATATCTGGGTGTCCCGAATCTTACTATGTCGTGGAGAAGAATGTGAAAGGCAATGAACTAATCGTCGCTCGCGGCCATGATCATTCGGTATGACGTCGGTGCGTTGTATGGTTTGACATTTGTGTGTTGTTAATCTCGTTAACAAACCTCATGTGCACTGACTTGTTCGGTAGCTGGTTAAAACCGAGCTACATCTGTCGGAAGTCGAAAGGTCCTCGTTTATCAGATTCCCCTGTCGTTATTATTCGAGTTTTTAAAATTGAATCATAGATGTTTCCAGCACAATATATATGCCTGTCAAGTAGTAGAGTTATTGAAATGAATCAACTAAAATACTCTTTTATATTTGAATCTGCTATAGGCCCTGTACCGTAAATGGTTGACTTGTTCAACATTCTACTGGATGGGCAGTGGCAAAGAGATGCCACACACTACTCGATGTCAAGTTAGGGCGAGATATCAGCAGCGTCTAGGTATGCTACCTGCAGAGTAGTTCCTTCTTTGTACTTTCAAATGCGCATATGCTGACTTTTGAGATTATTTGCATGTTCAGAAATCGTCCATTTTACTTTCCTATGAGAAAAACAATCGTCTTTTTCTCATACTGACCCTGCCTTATATGCTATTTTTTTGTCCTCAGCTTGGGCGACTGTGACTCGAACTAAAAGTTCGATACACGCATCAGGAAGCAATGAACCATGTATACAACCCCACCCGTTACAAGCGGACAGGGACAACGTTATTCCAGCTGATATACATCCTTATATACCAGAGAAAGGTTCGCAAAGTGCCACGAGTGGAAGCGCGAGCGATATGGGTGTGAGTGTGCAATGCGTATTCGATAACCCACACTATTGTGTAACCCCTGGGCAGATGTTGGTCGCCTATGATGGAGTAGTTTGCTTAGGAGGTGGCGTCATAGATGGCTTTGGTCCGACAATGTATACGACTCAGCGAAACATCAAGGACGGTATGGTGGGTGTGGGCAGAGTAACGCAGGACGATATGACACCCGGCAGTGAATCAGATTGAAGCGTCTTGAAAACGCGTAGCAAGGTTTGTATCAAAAGTGGAAAGAATTTGCCATACACGGTTTCGACATGTCCTCGTAGACCTGTCAATTTATCCGTCTTCTATTTATACGTTTTGAGGAATGGTCGGGCGCAATAAAATACGTCGTTGCGGAGTAAAGCGCGATGCTCGGAGCAGGCGGTAGCGACGCACACTGACACATATTGAAATATGCGACAAATAGCGTAAGAAAGTAGAACGTGGATTACTATGGGAACAAACAGCGTACGAAAGTGGAGCGTGGATTACTATGGTAGGCCGGACCAAGTCAGACTAACACGTTCTACTGGCGCACGGTAGTTTGGCCACTACGCAACTTGTGAGTGCTTGTTTGCTTGCAGCGATCATCGCTGTAACTGTGTCTTGTCACACACGTGGAAAGCACCGTCAAATCGGTCGGGCAATGGGAGATCGAAAACGTAGAAGGCATAGTGCTGGATTGGTATAGTGCTAAATTGGTTGTGGTCTCGGGCTTCGGCCATTGTGTCTGCATTTACACATCTCGATAACATTGACCATACACATCGAGCCGTTGCGTATCCTGGAGACTATACGCATAAGGCAGCTCCGATGATAAATGCGCACCTAGAGGCATGCACGAGAAACCTGGTCTTGTCTGAAACCGTGAAAGACTTTATAGGTAGTCATGAGTAAGAGCTCTCTTTTGCAAGTGCACGACAGTAATGCCAAACGCATTCTCAATATAAGATGAAAGTTATTACATCAACATATATATTAAATAAAGTACGTGTGTTGTACATACACACATTCAAATATAAATGTACGGATATATAAGCTCTGGGTATATATTTCACGATTCCGACTGAGAGCACTCACTACCCGCCAAAACAAACAGATACACACATAGGTATATGTGTGTATATGTATGTGTGGGTGTATCTATGCAATACGAACATAAGTCTGTGTTTGTGGTTATGTCAATACACACTCGCATTCACAAGTGTCCTGTACTTACATGAAAACACATATAAATACCTGCATATAAATCGACTATATGTATATATGTAATTCATTTCTACATATATATATATATATATATATATGTATATATATATATATATATATATATATATATATATATATATATATATATATATATATATATATATATATATATATATATATATATAGTATATATATAT